CCTCCCCCAGGAAGAACCTTCTCCTTGGGAACCTTAAAGTGCCCCAGAGTTCCCATCACAGAACCTGGCAGATATTACCTGCTGTTACAGGACCCGGCACGCCTTGTTTTGTTCCTTAGAATGTTCAAGGGAACCGTCTCTGAATTGAAAATGATTCTTTATCCTCTTCCGCCACCAGCATCTCCCACTGTTTGCATCTGGGGTCATGCTAAGCTTGTTCAAATTGAAAGCAAAACAGTAACCTTATCATACTGTTTGCCAAGCTGCTCTCCATGGTACTTGAAGTTTTGCTTAAAACAATTTAGGCCGAAAACCCCATGTGTCCTCTGGTGCCTGATAGCGAGACCAGCACAGTCTCGCTACTTATTTCAGATGACTTATCACAGACACTTTCAAACAGTAATGGCGGCTGCAAGGAGCTGAAAAACGGTGTCATGTTCTCTAAGTGTAAGTGACCTGCCCATGGCACTAACCAGCCCACAGCTTTTCAGGACCATGAGAAATAGTTCTGATTTAAAGTCGATGTCTTTGTGCTTCTACTAAACACAGTGTCAGTGTCTGATTCTTTGGATTTAAAAAGAGAAGGCTTATTGTTTTGGCCAGATTTTTCTATTTGAAGTCTAACTTCTATAATTACTGCATCATGGAAAAAGAGGAGAACATAGCTGACCACTCAGAGTGCAAGTTAATGAAGTGTGATTTTCCCATGAGTAACGGTGGGTGTTAAGTAGGTTGGTAGGGTTAATGGGGCACCCTCTGCTAGACAGATGATATAGATATCTTCATCTTTGGCACAGGCTTATGATGGCCAGACTAAGGTCAGCGGGCCAGGTTCTGTGTGATGGGAATTTGGGGACACTTCAAGGTTCCGAAGGAGAAAGTTCCTCTTGGATGAGGTGACAATGATTCCTGCAAAACAGCCGGTTCTCACAGTTGTTCCAACAAAGTAAATGGTGTTTATAATAATAGCATCCAATGAGATAATGCATTTGAAGATGCTTTGTAAACTCCAACGGGTTATGTAAGATGAATCAATATTATTTTATTTTTAGGAGAACCATTGTATATGAATGCAGCCCTCACGTTTTGGTTAGCCCATTAAATACAGTCCTTACTTTGTTTTGCTTTTGGACCTCTCTTTGTGGTTTGGCCGTTTCAGGACTTCAGTTTCCTCTCCAAAACTGAAATACCCAACCATGCAGATGACAGAGTCTTTCTGTCTTGTTGGATGGCAGCAGCTGTACTTTCTTGTAGTCCTTGCCCGGGGCAGAATGTCAAGTTCTGAACACTGTCAAAATAACAGAATGTGGACTGAAATTATTAATTTCAAAGTCCCTGTTGAATGATGGAAGGCACTGTATTGGTTATGATTCAATTTTAGGTTTAAGATTGCTTTGCTAACCATTGTTTCAAGCCTTGTGCTCTTGAATTCAGAGTGAGCTATTATTAAAATGAACAGAGAAGTATGTGTTTTTCTTGGGCTATTAAATTGTCTTTCGTGCCATTCCAAAACTGATAGATCACTCTCAGGAAATATGCATCTTTAAAAAAAAAAAACAACTCTCGGGGTGGCCAGTTAGCTCAGTTGTTTAGAGCGCAGTGCTCACAACACCAAGGTTGCCAGTTCGATTCCTACATGGGCTGCTGAGCTGCGCCCTTCACAACTAAGACTGAAGGACAACAGCTTGGCTGTTCCCCTTCCCTAGTTCCCCAACACCGATCCTCTTCCCCAATTCTCCAATAAAATCTTAAAAAACAAAAACAAAACAACAAAACAAAGAAACAAAAGACTCTGTGATCATTTCTTGGTGGGATGATCTAGCTATGCTATTTCACTGGAGACCCCGCCCCCAAATTGATCTGTTCAGGTCTTTTCCTTTCAGCTGGTTAGCTTTCCAGGAAAATACTTTCTATTCCCTTGCTTAGAGGTATATGTTGGCTGCCTGCTATTCTGCAATTGGGCGGCAGGGGTTGGGGGAAGATGGAAGAACTTCACAATTTCAGCATGTTTTATTTTGATGTCTCTATTTTCAATTAGGTATCCCTGCCTTCGACTCAGTCAGACCCACTGCCTTACCTTTTCCAGAGAATAAACCCCTAGTCTTTTGTTAACTGCTTCTTAGCCCATGTTCACCCCCACTTCCAGAAGTGTCCTGTAATTTATCAGCCTTTGGCGAGTTGTTCCATTTTAATCTGTTGGTAATTTGAACGTTGCCCACTTGAAGCTAAGAATGGAACTTTCTCAGGCCCGTCAGCTTATTTACCTGTTATCTGTCTGCTTCTCAGCTTCTGCAATTTTGTTTTCTTATTGCCTCTCTCATTCTCTTTTTCCTTAAGGGCAAGGCCTTCAGAAAGAATTGTTTTAAGTTGGTATTTTAATGGGATTCTAAGAGGATGTGAGTGTAAATTAGTGTGTTCAGTCTGCTACCTTTGACAGTCCTTTACATTTTTTCTTAATACTTATTTCAGGTTTCAAATTGTTATTGGGTCACTTCTTACTGCAGTGGCTGGCACTGTAGTCACCACTGGGGTGGAAACAACTTAGGGTTTCATTCTAGTATGTTCTGTGTTGTCATTCAGGAGCCTTGCTGCCTCTGCGGGCTCTAACTGGCTGTGGCTGAAAGTGGAGCCCTGGTCAGGTCAGGCTCAGCGAGCCCCACATTTGCTCAGCTTTTCCCACTTCCCGCTTTCGGCCTCAGCGCCGCTCCCTTTCACCCTGTGCCCTCCGTGTCTCAAATCCCAGCCACGGGAGGCGTAGCCTGAGACGCTTGTATTGCCTCATTACCATCTCATCACGCTTGATCCGGGCATCCAAGATCCTCCCCGCCCAGAACACGCGGGGAGCTGAGTCTGCAGAGCTGCTGCTACCTGGGCCACTCCGCATTCTGGACACACACGTGGATCTTTTGCTTTTTTATTAGTTTCAAGTGTACAAAACAACATAAGGATTAGACATGTGCACCCCTCACAAAGCGATAACTCCAACAAGTCTACTCACCCATCGGACCCCGTACATGGTATTCCAATGCCATTGACCGTGTTCCCTGTGCTGTACTTCACGTTCTGTGACTATATTTTTTACATTATAGTCGACATACAGTATTATTTTATATGAGTTTCAGGTGTGCAGCGCAGTGGTTAGGCATTTATATAATTTATGACGTGATCCCCCTGATAAGTCCAGTGCCCGTCTCACACCATACACAGTTTAACAACATTACTGACTATATTCCCCATGCTGTATTTCACATCACTATGACTATTTTGGGATGACCAGTGTGTGCTTCCTAATCCCTTCCCCTTTCTCATCCATGCCCCAACCTCCTCCCATCTGGCAACCATCAGTTTGTTCTCTGTGTCTATGAGTCTATTTCGGATTTGTTTGTTTATTCTATTCTTTAGATTCCACATATAAGTAAGATCATATGGTATTTGTCTTTCGCAGTCTGAT